AAGTGTTTATTTCACTGTGTCTTTTGATGAATAAGTACGAATTGAGTAGTATTAATATAGTAATCTTATTTAGATTACGAAGCATTATTTAAATGTATTGTAAGCTATATTTGAATAACATTTAATCGTAACATGAATTTATTTTGTTAAAGTAAATGTTGATAGATACACTTTTAATTGGAAACTTGATTTACATACTTTTTAAATTTCAATTAAAAAATGTTGAAATATAGGTTCCTGTTAAAAAAAACTTTTACTAAATTCATTCTTGTTTGTTATTCGTTTTGATTTATTGTAAACAACCTTGAACTAAGCTTATCAGTAGAAAAACATACTGAAAACAATATTGTCTAGAGAAATTAAATATTGGTAATTTTCATGTATAAGATCGCGATCAAGTAAGTCGACACATACGAATTAATTACTGATTTTCATCGAGGGATACTACTGGTATACTTGAAGATTACTGGATAAACACGAACGTATATATAATAAAGATGGGTAAAATTGTATTTTATTTAGGTCAAGGTTCAGCACACACTTCACCAAGGCTAGAACTTTCTCTGTGTTTCCACTACATGCTCCGAGGATAGAAATGAATTAATTCCGGGATAATTAACTCGTTTTTATATCCTATATCGGATGATATTGCCAGGTGGTTAGACACCTTAACCAACCGCAATATTGACCGCAAAGCGTTATTCGCGTGTGTGAATACCGCCAAGCGTTCGAATAATCCAATATTGGATCGTTCACATTCCCATGGCAATTTCCATCCAATAGGCCAATTATATTAATATTTCTTTATGGGACAACGATTTCTAATATTATTTAAATTAGGGTCAACATAGGCACGAATACTAAAACACTTTTTACAACATAAATTTATATAATATTAAATTATTCAAAACTTACGTTTTTTCGTATAATGAATGTGATGATTTAGGTTTTGTCCATGTGAATCGAACTGAATCATACTTTTACACAGTATATCTTAATCATAATGAGAATAGTAATATATTATATCTACTAACTATTTAATAAGTAATCAAAAGAACGTATACAAAATATAAACAGGAGAAATATTCGAATAGCATATTTTTGAATACTGTTGGTTCTACTGATATGTGCACTTATAGATTATAGTAAAACATATAAACAAAATATATAGGAATTACACAGAATACTATAATACAAAAGAATAAAAAGAATAACAAGTCGATTTGACTGACCAATAAGAAATGAAAAATTAGAAATTTGTTTCGCTTTAATTGAAATGAAATAAATCTTACTCATAAAATTAAATAATATGATACATAAATATTCTGGTGATATAAGTTATTGATATGTAGATTTGTATTGTTTCCGTCATATATTAGCTATGACAACTTATAATTTTTTGTTCCTACTGTCCCACTACATTGTTCAAATTATTCTTTTCTACGGTTTATTTTCCAAATTTCATTATTTATTTTATACAATCGATTTTTTCTGTTACATATGAGAAACGTGCGGTATATTTTAATATTAGTGAAAACTCACAACGATTTTGCATCGTGAGGCGAATAACCGTCGAAACATTATTTGACCGGTACATATTACAACGAAAAATTTTCCAAGGAATAAAATGAAATCCCGAGAAACACGAGGCAACAGGTTCTGAAAGTAAACTCGAAGCAAACTCCATTTCCTGCTGCAATTTACATTGGATCCGAAGGAATTGAGATTTTATCGCTTTCGAAGTAGATTCTTCAAGAATTTCGCCTCGAAATGGAGGCAAACTGCATTTATATCGAAAATGGAGGTAGAAAAATTCGTCTTTCATGGAAATAATATCAGCGTGTATCCACAGAAAGACGAATCTACCGAAATATGCGAGGATTGTGATGACTTAACATGACCTTTGTATTGTACATTTCCTTCAGTGTTGTAAACTGCAAGTTTTCTGAAAAAAATGACAACAAACAGTGTAAAAAAAATGTTATTATGTACTAATTTAATATTCTAGGCTATCGATTCTTAACCTTTTGTTTACCACGGACCCCAAGACTTAATTTTGTTCTTTTTTTTTGTTCTTATAACCTGTGCATTTACATCCAGCCAAAACATTAAACGAGTATCCTTATTAATAAATGTCACGTGCTTTCTCTCAGTCACTCACTTGCGTGTCTGAGGACTTCGCTGCGGTCCGCAAACTACAGATTAAGAACCGCTGTCCTAGCCTATTACTAAAATTACAGTGGACTTACAGTGGTATTACATATTATGCTATAAATTGAAAGAAAAAAAAATAGAAAAAATATTAAGTTTTATTTAATTTAAAGAAATAATATTTTCATGATTAAAAAAGTATTAAATATTAAATTAGGGCGCGATGTGTAAAGTATTAAGGTAGGAAACATGAAATGTTACCTATGAAAAGCGTTCTTATTCTTTGCTTTGTTGAGCAACTTGAGTCTAATAATTGGCGGAATTCTGTATAGTATAAAAATAATACCATTTTGTTTTTAGTAATGTATTAAACATGAAATTTAGTAGCATACGTTGAACTTCAATTGGAATTCCAATGTAGCGACCAAGCTATCACTCGATACACTTAGAAAATAACTCTATAAGATGGTCGCATTTACATTCATTGAATTTACTGGTATCTGAGGATTCAGCGTTTGCACGCTAATGGATCCGGTGTTTCGATAAGAGCTTGCGCAAGTTTCGTCGGGAAGGCTTATGCAAACGTTTCCAAACCTCTGAATCATCTTCGTGGCGCTTAGAACTCTTGAAGTTGGTCTGCGAAGTGGATCGATGAGTTACAATTCTTTCGCTAATTTCGAACTGCGTGTCTTTTCTCTTAATACCTCTTTTCGAAAATTTTGAAGAAATACAAAGCAGCAGGGTATATACATACGTGCTATTTACTTGTCAAACTTGAATTGTTATGAGATAATGTCGTTTGAAATATTTTATGTTCATACAAATTGTTTCGTTTCCCAGTGCAAATGTAGTTGTATTATTTTTTTAGTAAAATGTTTAAGAAGTAATAATTGGTTCCCAAGTGTTGCCTGTAAATATTTCATTAAAATTTCTCATACACAATGCAGGGATTCTTGCAATGATCGGTGCGAGAAATCAATGTGTTATAGTTTGAACCTGATAGTTGATCGAAATGAATAATGTCAGTGATCCGCCTTTAGTGATTGCAATGATCAAATTTAGTGAACTCAATGATCAGAAGGAATATGCTAAATACTACCAACTTCTTTCTCTTCATAAACTCTTAAACTACTCAGAGAATTCTTCAGACTCTAATTTTTTAGACGGAGAGGGAGACAGCTGCGTATGTTTGAATTTGGCTTTTTCATTCTTCGAAAAATTAAAGCTCGTCGATGATTGATTTTCTACTGTTATTTTCTACCATGAATAAAGGAAGAAAATTTCATGATTGGCCGATTTAAGGTCGAACCAACCCCCTAGTGGCACCAACTTCGAATCGCCGATTTTAATAACTTCAGAACTTTCAGGACATGTAGTATGCCCCTGCCTCTTCATAAATCACCCCCATATGGGGTCATATGATCAAAAGTTTTTGAATTATTTGCCTTTGAAGTTTTCCGTGTAACTTAAGTGAAAGTTATGTTTACCGATCGTTCGCAGACGTAACGTCGAGGCTCCTACCACGACGACCAGTGTTCAAATATGTCCCAAATACATCCAGAAATCTTTCGAAGTAACGTATTTGAACTCTAATCGTCACGATAGAAAGCATGGACGTTGCCTTGACGCTACAACATCTACGAATAATCGTAAAACATAACTTCAAAAGTATGATTAAGCCTTCGAACACTCATCAAGAATTTATTGTAATGAAAGTGACAGAATCAGTACATATGCAAATCATTTCCAGTCAGTTTTGGCACATTACTTTTATCGAATCTTTGTACAATAATTTCTTTTCTTTTTCTTCATTTATCAGGTCTGGTTCCATACTTTTTGCCGGTAGTGTACTATGCATTTTATGTTATACCATATTATTCTAAATTATACGGTATGTTATGTATATTATTATATTAAGTAATTGCATTTAGTATACGTTCAACGTTGGTAGTTCTAGCCTTAACAAAATAATTTATAACGTAATGAAGTATATCGTATCTGTACACAGTAAGATTTACATCATTAGTTCCAGTCTCTATCGTGTTTTATCCTCCAACAAAACAGGAGCTGTCAGCGAATCCACTCGTTAACTCTACCCCAACAATATCCTTCTAAAAACAATCGATAAACGTTAGACTTTTCTTCAACTACAGACGAGCTTTCTTTCGACCCGTAAAAGAGCCTGACACGTAAATTATGACCTGATCAAAACCGTCAAATTTCCTACATTTTTCAAGCTTAACCGACACCGGGGAATACCTTCCGGCTCTCCGAAGTGTGTCAAACGCAGCACGTGTCTGATCAGAGACATCAGTTTCAGCCATGGAACGCGAATCCGTGCCGTTTCTTCTCGGGAAATCATCGGCGAGCTTTCATATTTTTCCCCTCCCTTCCTTTTTTTTCCTGCGGCCCACTTTTTTCATCGTACTGTCAGGGGGACACGCGTCAATGAGCCATCACCGTAGTAGTAAGGGCGTTTATTATCGTCGAGAAAAAAATCGTTGTTTTCGATGTCGGTACACCGCGATGCTTTAGCAATTCGAAGTAGGCCAGCTTAAAGGCGATACCACGGAGTCTAATCCGCTTAAATTGCACGTACGAGCCAACTTTTGCCTAATATTATTATAAATACACTGCTCAAAAATATAACTAGGTGTTAATAGTGTTAATATTGTACGGGAAAGATATCGATTTAGCAAACTTGTAAAGCCACTTCGCTTGTTTCGCTTGGTGGGCACAACAGAACCGCCCACATTAGCGGATCCCCCAATTCTTTTGAGCAGTGTAATAATGCACGGACTGTTTTAACCGACGATTTATTAATTGGTTGCGTTTTTTTTCTGTTCCAGAGTTGCCAGCCGAGGAGGGTAAGTTCTATCGTCAAGCAAATTTCTTTCTTTAAACGATCGACACGGTAAGCTATTCCAGCAACAAATTGGCATTGATCTACGATCTCTTTTTTTACTTAATATTCTTTGCATCAATGGTTCGTGACACTAAATCGCTTTCGATCTTTCGATTTGAATGGGTCGTACGCGTTTAGCCACTTTCACCAGTTATCCATGAGAATATCTATAATTAGCAACGTGATAGTTCTGTGTGGGCTGTTATGTTCACTGATTGATACATTGGACAGTAGTTTTATGAATGAAACTTATCGATAGCCTGTGAGAATCCAACGAAGATTAACAGAGACTTTATTTCTATTTAATCAGACCGTTGTTCTCATTTTTAGAAATTGTCCTGTGAAAAAGAAATTTGTTCAGTTATATAATAGAACGCTTTAAAGCACTTTCTTGTTAATGAGGCTCTATTTATTTCAACAATGAAATTGTTTGAAAGTGTCTTGAGATTAGTTAAATGATCTATGTATAGATGAGAATTGAATACAGTTACGGCCTCTGAATGCATATAATTTTGAAATTTTTAAGTTCTAGTTCGCAAAAAAACACGGTAAAGCTTTTAGTAATGACACTTAAGTAGCCAAGAAATAATTGAATAGCAAAGTAGTATGTACAAATATCTTCGAGAAATTAATGTCCTATTCAATGAATTACGTAAAAAATACGAGTATTTTTATGATAATGTCATAAATATAGCACAGTTTCTGCAAGGACGTGAAAAATTTGTTAAAGCCTACCTTGAATGATAAATTTCTCTGTAAGTTTAATATACCACGCGTTTGAATGAACTATCTCACGTTCTGCTCAAGAAATAAGAAATTCAAGAAACAGTATCAGTACTACATAGGCGTTAATTCTTTACTTACGATGGCGGAACTTATTTCTGATTCAATACACTGTTAACAAAAATAATATTAAGGTTACAATGAAAACAAATAGTCCAGACATTCCAGAAGTTGCCAGCTGTTGTCGGATCAGGCTCACTCCGATCCAAGTGCATTGAGAATGAAAATGAGTGGGATACCTTAAAATAGTTTAAGAAGAAATGAGTTTTGTATTACAACATGGAAAGTGGAACGTCAAGCATCTGTTGAGGTTGATGGTTGTTTGCAGCAATCCATCACCGACTTGGAACGCTTTCTTGGTTTGAAAAGTGATAACAATAACAATAAAATGATAACAATATATACAAACGTAAAAAGAATTTAAATGGACATAAGAAAATGGAATATAAAATCAAAATAGATACAGGGAAACATACACATGCTTTTCCATAAAACCATTTTATGGTTTCTTTAGCAAATGTCTCTAGCATGTGTCTTACAAATACGAAATTCACCTGCTTTTTTAAATCATTTCTTGTTCGTCCCCTGGCAAAACAGCATTCGCTCTACTATGCTGAGAATGTAGAAAGTTGCAGTGATTTCAATTGAAAAACGTTTTGCAGTGTGCGTTCTTCGTGGTGAAGGCTATTCGATCGATGATATTGCAAATAAACTAAAGATATCGGAGAATCGTGTGTAGAATATCATCAAGGAGAAAAAAACGACCTGTAGTATAATGACTTGAAAGGTGTTTGTGTTTTTCGAAACCAAACCAGTTGTTTGAATACTTCTGAGTGGTATTGTATGTACAGTCTGTTTCACAAAAGCGTTGGAACGATATCTGGAAAAATAATTGATATTTTTAAAAAATTCAAAAACAGGCTTATATAAAACACTAGGACGCAATTACCTAATATAATGCATAATCGCCTTTATTTTCAAGTATAGCCTCTAATGCTTTTTTGCTCAAGTTTTCTGCGTACCCTTCAGGGAATGTCCTTAAGATTGATGATGCTCCAAACATTTTCAATCGGATTAGCGTCTGGTGATTGCGAAGGTTAGTTTACTGTTTGAATACAGTTTTAGATTTATATCATTGATTTCTTGTAACACCCAAGATGAATGATCTTCACCAAACCACTCTTTAGTAGATTTCAATAAACCTTTTTCTTTTAAAAAATTAAAATTTTTTTAAATGATTTTGTCCTCTATCACTTGCCATACGCATATTCCCTCTTTTTTCAAAATTATCAACACTTTTTGCAACCCTAAAAACCCCATATACCGTTTCACTCACTTCCTTACGAACTTGTTTAACTTTTCCATGTAACGAGCTGCCGTTGAGAAGATAAATTCTGGTCCTTTAGAATATGTGCAAAGAAACACTGCTCCCAACCGTTTGGCGTACACTGCACTCATTTTGAAATTCGAGTGTTTACAATGACAGACGAAACCGAACTGAGAGATTCTTAATGACACGTCTTCTTAATAACGATTTACGTTAAAACAATAACGTTGAACACGAGTCTTAATTATCGTAATGTTTTAGATGTACTGTAAGCCCGTATTTGAATTTTTGAAAAAATATCACTTATTTTTCCAGATATCGTTCCAACCTTTTTGTGAAACAGACTGTATCAAATTACGCTTTCTACGTTCGGTCAATAGTAATCCTTTTCGCTTGTTAAACCAACCGAATCGAAACAAAAATGTCGCGACCATGTCGATGTACTAAAACCATGAACGGCCCGTATGAAATTGTTCGACGAACAAATGGGCTTTGCCGTTAATTGTCAGCCAGACGACGACGACACACACAGGGAACGAGTGAACCGTTCCAATGCCTAATCTGTGGCAGTCATAGGTTCTCCTAAAGGTATCAGATCATGTAAGATCGAGGCTTCTCCCGTTGCGTTGTTTACGTAGTTAACGTATAATCCCGCGTACCTTTTGCTCCCTTAAAAATAGACGCACTTGTACGTAGTCGGTGGTTCGGGTAGCTTTCAAGAAGCTCGATCGACCACTTGGCTGTGCAATTATTTTTAGAGGTAAACTACGGCAAATGGCATTCTTTTCGCCGACCCAAATTAATACTATTAACTATACTGCGGATTTTATGCATTTATAGCACTCACGATTGTCTAAAACTCGATATAATGTAACGAGAGTTTTAGTCAATTTAGATCACAATATAAGCCTTAAGGGAGTAAAAAAATTTCGTGCCTGATTCCAGTTTTCATTAATCCCTTAAGCGAGGAATTTGTGAAAAAAGAGTATTTTTTCTTATAATATTACTAAAATAAAGTGACATGACGGATATTTTTACGACGTCAAATTGTGTACAAAAGTATAAGCGGGAGATAGATGTGCTCTCCCCACTCGAGGGGGTAATTAGCCCATGAAAGTGTATATTTGCATAAATATCCACGGCCTACTAATAAGAGTTTGCACTAAAGGAAATTTTGATTAAGCCTAAAAAGAAACCAAAGTGAACACGAGTAACAGATCCGTGGAACTATCTTGTGTCTTTTGACGCAATGAAGCGAACGAATTTTCAATATAAAATAAATTTAATCGTTGAATTACTGGGTTGTTTGTAAAAATGTATAGTTATCAATTTGCATGTTATTATCTTCCACTTCTTTTTACAATTTTTCTATATTTTACAGATAATTTCATTGTGCTATTTGCATAAATTTTCCATCATTTCGGTTAAAAGCTTCTTAACATGCTTTTAGATGATTTTTCTGTTTTCAAATTTCTTTTTCGAATATAGAATTTTTTTAACGAGCTTCCTCTGCCATATTCAATACTTAATTAATTTTTATACTGCAAATCGTCTTGCTCCTTGTTCACTGTTCGGATCAATTTATCGTATATAAGTAATCATATTATTTATTAACGAACTTCATAAATTAACTTAACACCGATAGTTTACATATACATATTACAATTGAGCAAAAGGCACATGTATTTCGTTAATTCTAGTTCAATATAGGCCCAGTTTATTTCAAGGAACTGGAATGCAATTATTTATTGAACAGTGCACGGGGGTTAAAACTGGGCAAAACAAGTCCATCGGCAAATAGCGCTTAATAGTGGCAGTATGGAAGGTCTTTTAGTGAGAAGTGTATAATCCGATAGATCGACAAAACTGTCCGCGGAACCTGACAACAATAAAACGCATAGTAAATAAGTACAGAAATTCACGTGACAACGTAAGCCTTAAACGTAGACCTTAAAAGCGTTTCTCTTCAGTATAAATACCTATTCCGAACCATTACCAAGTGTCTCGAGAAGTAGGGCACCCAATTATCTCACGCCTGAGTGAATCAAAATGGAGAGAATATAATCGAGGGTGGAAGAAAACACAAACTTATAGAATAAAAGTGAATTCGAAATTTTTGTTCACACATTCCGCGACAAAATGATAGGTACACTAACTTTTATTTACCTCACGCTTCTTAATTATCATAAAGTTTTTTGTTTCTATAGTTGTATTTAAGGCGATGATTGTCATATTATTTAACAGAAGTAATTTATCTTCAGGTTTTATGGTCTATAAAAAAACATCATGTAAACCATGACTGAACTTAATGCTGTCATATAATTTTTTAATAATATTTAGATGAATGTTTCGCCAACATTCCTGAATTGAAATTTTCAGTTCGTCTATTGTTGAAAATTGTCCATTACTTTTATAGATTGTACAAGAAATCCCCTATGTTATCTATTACATTCATGTCATACGAACGAGCTGGCTACTACAATTTTCTCATTTTATGATCTTTAAACCATTGTCCCACTATACGAGCGATATGTACAGCTGCATTGTCTTGCTTACATGTAAAGTCCTCAGTTCTAGACATTTCAAGAAATTGTGGTTTAACCACAGCGAGTATGTTTCTATACATTACAGCGTTTTTTTTTTTGTTTAAAAATACACTGTCACGTTTTCCTTCGTAACCTACCACTGCCAACACAATAACTGATCCGCCATCAATTTGTCCGTTTGATAAAATTCGTTCCTCTTGCCTTAAATCATAGTACTAATATGAATAAAATTTAACCTGGTTGGACCAGATGGCTTTTCATTATATGGACAGCCTTCCACATCTAATTGTTCAATTAATGGTAAAT